ATTTGATGTTCTAGGGTTTCAGGATTGTTGATTCTCTGTTTGGCTTAGTTTTTCGGATCTTTGTTGTGGAGGGACGGCGTGGTGCTTCTGCCTAGACCGCCATCTTGCCGGAGACTCTGCTAATGTCTTTTAAATATATTTTCTCAGTTAATCCTTCCAATAATCCTTTGATGTCAGTACCATTATTAGTCACATTTTGCAGATGAGGAAACTGAGGCTTAGAGAGGGAAAGTAACTTCTCAAAGCCCATACTAACTAAAGGGTGGGATAGGTCCAGACTAGGCCTAGAATCTTGATCCTCTGCCACATTTCATACATATTTTCTCAGCTGTTATGAGCTGTTATGTAATGGTATATATAGCAGAATACAGTCAGGTCTCAACCATAAGAGTGGAAGATGGCTGAAATATTTTTGGCATTTGTTTTAATTTCCTCTTAGAATGAAACTTTCTCCGGTTGTGATTGACTCTCTAAATTGACTTGTGAATATTTTCTTTCCCTTTCCTTGGTAACAAATAATGAATTTACTATAAAATAGGTAACAGGAAAGAGGAATTAAAAAATGAGATTTAGCAAGTCCCAAAATGGATTTAAGGGTCCTTGACTAGGTGTTCACGTTGCTTCTAGATGAAACTGTCGTGTCATGAGATTATTATGATTTAAGAGGATTGACATGAGGTAGATTTGGGGGTTCTTTGGGCCCACGTGTAGGTTTCTGGGCAGGGAATGTGACGTAGAAGTGGTGCTGGCCTGAATGTCTGTACCTGTGAAGTCTAGCCCTAACTTTGCAACCAGCTAGTTTTGGGAAATGGGTGGGGAAATTCATCTCTTCAGGTTGGTTTCCTCCTCCATAAAGAGGGGCACCTTTCTAGTTTCAGAATCCCTGACTAGGCGTAAATACGCCCTTTACTTGATTCAGCTGTTTTGGTTAGTGAAGCATTTTTATAAATCTATTGCTTATCATATTAAAAATCAAATCACACTTAAGGTGTGTATGCTTAAAAAAGGGAACCTCCGAATAAAACAAAGCCCTTCTGAAAACCATTAGTAGTTAGCCAGAGGCATTGAGAAATTAATACCCCAGAGAAAGGATTATGCATATTGACCGAAGAAGGGGTAGAGAGATTTTGGATTTCGTGTCACAGAAATTGTGCACTTTTAATAGAGGGAACAGTATGGCTAGAACAAATGAGCAAAACTATAATGGAAGTAAAATGAAAATTATATAAGTCACAGAGTATTGATATATCAAGTGTATATGTATGTGTGTGTGTATATATGTACATATGTATTTCCAAACTATAATGAGTTGTGAAATTTAGTGAGTTGCAGCCAACATTAAAAAAAAGTTAACAGAATGTATCACACATAGTAATGTTAAGTATTATGTGAAACTTATATATGTGCATTGTGTGTATATACACATTTATGTATGTAATATGTCACAATGTAAAATGTACTTCTAACTGGATCATAGTAAAAAAGTTTGGCCTTCCCTCATGGATGAAAGGAATACAGTCATAGTACAAATTAAAATGCCTACTTGAGTTGTATTTAGTTTTTTTAAAAAAATTATTTGATAGATGCACAATAAATTGTTGTTGAAAGAAATAATTTGAGCAGCTGATAGAGAAGGTGAGCTAGATCCCAAAAGGATGGGTGGAATTGGAGAAGGGTCAGACAAGATTAAATGATGTCATAGGAACAGCCAAGGTAAAGGCTTGGCATCAACATGATTTATAGGTGGGATAATGGGAAGATCAGCCTGGCTGGAGTGTTCCAGAAAGAAAAAGATAATCTACAGCAAAATATTGAACAAGTGTATTATCTTGTAATGTTCTCTAATTGTCTACATTGCCACTTCTGGGTCATCTTCCCTCAATTCCAGCTCTGTCCTCCTATATTAAGCTTATTCTGTGCACAGTAATGCAGGTATCTTATCTCAACTTAATGGGCTTTTTTCCCTCACATAGTAGGTACCCGTTGTTATGGATTGAATTGTGTCCCCCCAAAAAGTGTGTCAACTTGGCTAGGCCATGATTCCCAGTATTGTGTGGTTGTCCACCATTTTGTCATCTGATGTGATTTTCTGATGTGGTGTAAATCCCACCTCTATGATGTTAATGAGTCAGGATTAGAGACAGTTATGTTAATGAGGCAAGACTCAATTTACAAGATTAAGTTGTATGTTGAGTCAACCTCTTTTGAGATATAAAAGAGAGAAGTGAGCAGAGAGACATGGGGACCTCACACCAAGAAAGAAGCACCAGGAGCACAGAGCGTCTTTCGGACCCAGGGTCCCTGGGCTGAGAAGCTCCTAGACCAGGGGAAGATTGATGACAAGGACCTTCCCCCTGAGTTGACAGAGAAAGCTTCCCCTGGGGCTGGCACCCTGAATTCGGACCTCTAGCCTCCTAGACTGTAAAAGAATAAATTTTTCTTCGTTAAAGCCATCCACTTGTGTTATTTCTGTTACAGCAGCACTAGATAACTAAGATGCCCGTTGAGTAGTCTGAAAGGCTAATTACCATTAAAATCTTTAGTTTACGTGCCCTGTATCTTTTATTTGTAACGCTAAGAATCTTTAAGAGCTATTTTATCTGGAGCTACGAAAGCAGTGGTTCTCAAACTTTAGCATCCATTGGAATCACCTGGAGAGCTTGTTCCAGCACAGATTGCTGGGCCCCCATCCCAGAGTTTTGATTTCATAGGTCTGGAGTAGGATGTACTTAGTTTTTTTAATTGATCTGTTTTTCTTTTTCTTTTTTTAAATTGAGATGAAATTCAGATAACATAAAACTAACCATTTTAAAGTGAGTAATTCAGTGGCATTTAGTACATTCACAATGTTGTGCAGCCATCACCTCTCTCTAGGTTCAAAATATAATTGGTCTGATTTTTTAACAGTTGTTTTTTCCAAACTAGATTTAAAAAACAACAGTTTGAGAGAAAGTCCTTGCTCTTTTAGTTTAGCCTGAAAGCGGGGGTGGGGGGTGGGGGTGGGCTTCAGTACTAGGTAAGTTAGTTTGACTTCTGTGTGCTGGGCGCCATCTCGTGGCTTTTGGGTTACAGTGCAGCATACTCCCTCGTGAATAGTGAGAAAACTTGCAAGCCCTGTTTCTGATGTCCTGACTGAACTGTACAAAAGGCCAGAGCTTAAAGTTAAAAAAATTAAGGCTGCAGATTCGATTCTTAACTTCCCTCTAACGTTAGACACGCACTGGAACCCTAGCCCTAACCAATCAACTGTAAAGTATGTACCATCTCAGACTACTGTGAGAGGAGACCAGTCTCTTGAGGTTGGGTTACAGGTACTGTCTTTTTATGTACAGTACACTCAGGTGATACGGCCTTCAGTGGAGAATTAGGATATGGGTTTATACCTCTCTCCTCACTGAAACCTTCCTTCATCCCCATCTTTCCTTGTAGTCACTCACGCTTGCCTTTGAGCTGTCACAGGTGTTGGCATTTTTAGCACATATCACTGTACTGCAATTTATTTGCATGTTGATTTCCTTTATGAGACTGGGCTTCTTAAGAGTCTCTGCCATACCTCTTACCTCCATTGCCTAGCAAATTATCTTGCATACACATAGGTAATATCTTGTGTATGAACAACATGCATGATTAAGGTGAATTTGGGTGTTTGACTTGGCTTTTGAATCCTTTGATAAATTGTAAGCTTAAACCTCAGGAAGGTGAATATTTTTAACATTTTATGTAAGTGTACAAAATTATCATGCTAAAATTATTAAGTTACTAATGGGATTGATAAAAGCTGCTTTGCTATCTAAGTAACTGTGATAAACATCTTCTTTTAAAAGCTAGGCAAAAAATTTAATGAGTTTATAGAAGTGTCTTTGTATATATGTATATGTGTGTCTGTCTATTTTCTTGACATGGAGCTATTTACCTGAAACACACGTTTCATCACATATTAGTAACTCTATTCAAAGATATTTCAGTGGCATATAATTATATACTACATTGCCAGAAAGTTCATGGGTAATGAAGTAATACAAGGATGCAGTCCATGATATCAAATGCAGGGAGTTAGGGTACAAAGATTCTATTAAATAATAAAATAGTGGTTAATATGTTTGAAAACAAAATCTACAACCTGGAATTCTACTGAGAGATGGGAAGTTTAGGATGGAGGATGAGCTGTGTCCTTTGATGGAGAAGATATGAGGGTCAGGGGGTGGTCAGTGACCACTCCGACAGTCAGCCACAATCATTGGAAAGCTCCGAACACTGGCAAGGCTTAACTGGGAAATATTCAACAGAAGACCAGGAATTTGAGGGAAAAGTAGGGAATTATAGATGTCATATAGTAGTGTATTGAAAAGACACTGCCTAGTGTTTCATAGAAACGTCAGGCCACCTCTTGGCCTATTATTTTGGATAAGCTCTTAATGTTGGCATGACTCTCTTCTCCTGTTGCACAGGCAGCTATTAAACTATACTGACCTCCTCCTTTCCTTAATCTGTTAGCAGCTGTCTCTAGATCAGGTTTTTTCAGTCTTGCCGTTATTGACACTTTGAGCCAGAGAATTCTTTGTTGTGGGGGGTGTCCTTTGCATTGTAGAATGTGTTTAGCAGCATCCCTGGCCAGTAACACTACCACAGTTATGACAACCAAACACATCTCCAGACATTGCCATGTCCCCTGGGGGGCAAAATCGCTCCCAGTTGGGAACCACTTCTCTGGATTATGGTAGGTCAACCCCTTCTGTGAATGTCTCCAGTAGCTGCATCCCGGTCAGGCCTGGGGCCCATCCTTGCCAGTAGAACAGAGGACTGTCCTTTCTGAACACTTTCTCCAGTGTTTGTAAAGGGATAGCTATACAAGATCATCTTTAGCGTATAATTTTAGGCCTGTGGGCTTTCAGTCAGCTGTTTGAAGGGATAGTTTATAAAAGGCACTGACAAGGGGTATATTCAATGCTATTTTATTCATAGGTTGTTTACATTACATATGTTTTATTTGTAAGCGCCTGGAAATTACTCCATTAATCAAATACTAAGCTCCTTGAGGGCAGAAATTTGTCATTTAGTCACTGATGTATGCCAACTGTTTAGAGTAGGTGATCACTATAGTTGTTGCTGAATATTGAAAGACTGCTTTTTCGAATGGATCTAAAAATGGCTGTCCTCCTCAAAAACATACCTAAGATGAACAGGACAGCTACCTAGAAAAGTTCCAAAGAATAGGAATTTTAATCAAGCAGATAGAGGTTTATTTCCATGAGTAAAAAATGCACTTTTTATATTGGAAAGAGGAAATCTGAGAATAGGATTCCAATTGTATTGTTTATAAAAAATATTGTTTTGACAAGATTACCACAGACCTGTTTAAACACCAAAGTACTAGCAGTCTTCAACTTTACTAATAGGTTAGCTTTCTAAAATTTCAAATGTAAGTTAGCATTTAGAACACTGCTATAGAAAAAGATTATGAGGGTTGGATTGCCATGTCCATCTACAAATGCTGATCACTAACCACCAGCCATTTATGACAGAACTTTCAGCCAGGAGGCCAGTAATACCCCGATTTCTAGTGATGGCTTTCCCCGGGGATAGGGACTTTTGTGAATGTTGAGAGAGATTACCATGGAAGAGAGAGGATGAGGTAAATTCTCCCACGTACCAGGTCCCTTAACTACATGGCACTTCTATAGATATAATTACAATAAATTGCCACTACTGGGGTGGCAAATGGAGTGGCACTGGAATTCAACTTTGTATATGGTCATTTGTTAAGAGCTAGCTATATGTATTTAGAGGTTCAATTTTTATTTAAGTATAAGCATATAACTTGTTACTTATAAATTTGGTACAAATTGAAAATGTGAATTTAGAGAAAATGGGCAAAAGGGCTTTATGTTATACAGAGTAGTTAGCTATGGGGATCAGCTATCCCTACCAGATATTGTGGAAGATAACGATGCTCACAGCCTGTTCTTTAACACTACCCTCAAAATGTAGAGAGGTAAGTCACAGTGGAGTGTTTAAGGGCCCAGAAAGTAGAATTAGCCTGCCTGGGATCAAAGTCTGGTTCTGCTTTTACTAGCTAGCTATGTGACTTTGGGTAAGTAATGTATCTGAACTTCAGTTCCCTCAATCTGTAAAACAAAGAACTCATAAAGAGTTGCTCTGAGGATTAAATGGAACAATGCATCTAACCTTTTTAACCCAATGCCTGGCATACAACATGTACTCTGTAACATTATTATTGTTACTAGTCTGGTTCAATCTGATATTTCTTACTTTGGAAAGATGGAGAACAACAGCCTGTCTTTTGGCGTCAGTGTCTAACTTGAACACTAAATGCCTTTGGGCTGTGACATGGATTTTTATATTTTCCAAGAAATTACTACTGCAACACACTGTGTAATAAAACGTTGAACTTTACTGGTAACGTTCAAGCATCGTACACTGAGGAAGTGTTTTTCAATTTAGTTTGTCGAAATACTTCAGTTTTCCAGCTGGATCTGGGATTATCTGTTAAAAAAAAAAAAAGCAAATTATTTATTTTAAAATCCAAAGTACATCATTAGTATTTTGACATTGGTTGCCCATCTCTTGACTAAAGAAGATAAAGATTATTTTTGTGTACCAAATTATATATATTTAGGAAAAACTGGATGTGTCCTGCCTACTAATCTCAGATATCCCACAAGGCAGATTTATTATTTGTTAATAAATTAACATCTGTACTCAAGCGCCCCAAACTTTACTTACAACTCTTCTCTTGGCCACCAGGCTTTCATGGCATCTTCAGGTTTGATCTAAGTAATTCAAACACATTAAGAGAGCATGGCTACAGATGTTAATGTATTTTTAAGATAGTTTGCTGATTAAATGGTGATATGCCAAAAAACCTGAAAAGGAGGCAGTGCGTTCACTAAGGGTTTATCAAAGGAATTTTTTTTGGCGGTCCAGCCAGAACACAACCTCCTAATCTCAAACTACAAAGTTCAAAACCAAAAAAAAAACTCAAATACAACATCAAGCATTATGTTCAATAACTATCAAATGAACACATATTCTAAACGAAGTGCTTGCTCTAAGAGCACCACAGCCTTAGAAACCCAGTTGACCTTTTTATTTCCAATAAAATTTGACCTCATATTAACTATGTTATTTGCTAGTTATAGGTGAAGGACATCTATGCTTACATATATATAAATAAACTATTATAATTGGTTTAAAACAGTTCTATATATGCATTTTCTTCAGAATAAAATTAACTTTTACCTATTTTTATGGGAATCACTTTAAGGAGTATTCTGTCTTTGCCAGTTTATAATCTCTTTGCATTTAAATCCAATCACAAGTACTTATTGAATAACTATGTGCTAACAGTGCCCGGGCAGCCGGGGATACAAGAGTAACTACCAAAGTCCCTGCCTTTGAAGCTTTTACAAGCATGTGGGGAAGATGTACATGTACATATCTGTTTTTGAGGCAATGCACAATGCTATCATGCTGTAACACAGGCTGTGTGACCCAATGGAGGCTGGTGGTAGAATCAGGGAAGGCTTCAGAGAGGAGGTGGCATTTAAGTTGGTCTTGAGAGAGGGTAGAGTTTAGAGAAGGGGACAGGCATTCCATGCTGTAGAAGGACCTGAGCAAAGGCACAATGATGTAAAAAAGCAAGGCTAGTTTGGGGAATAATGAATCGTGATTTGGCACGAGCACAGCATGCATGAATACAGGAATCCCAGGGAAGATGTAGCTGGGAGAGGCGGTGGCAACAGAATGGAAAGGCTTGAAGGCTGTGCCCGCGTGTCTGTGCTTTGTCCTGAGTACTGGAGAGCCACTAAAAGGTTCTGGTCTAAACATTTTAGTGCATTGGAGAGGAGAGAAACTGAGGTCAGGGAGACCAATGAGGAGACCTCTGCAATATGCAGGAGGGAACTGAGGGAGATAGAGAGAACAAATCCATCTATCTTCAAAGCAACACCACCACAAAATCTTTTCTGACCTTACATCCCCCTCTCCAGCTACTTAATTTTCTTCTTCCCTTCACACCTATATTACTTGAACTAGTTGTCCATACTTCCTTGTTTTCCTCTCCCTGCCCCTGCCCCTAACCTCAATCCATTTCCAACTGGCTCCTGCCCTCACTGTTCTCCAGATGCTGCCCTCACCATGGTCACCAATGGCCTCCACGTCACTCAGTCAGTTCTCATTGTACCTGAACTCTCCATGCCACGTGACACTGGCATTGTTATTTCCCTCCTAAGTAGCGCACTATATTCCTGCCACACTGCCCCTTTCTGTTTCTTGAACATGCTAAGCTGGATCCTGCCTCAGGACCTTTGCCCTTGCTGTTCTTTCTGCATGGCTCTCTGCATGACTGCTGTCTTCACTCTGGTTTCAGCCCAAAAGCCATCTCATAAGACTTTCCTGGCCACTTATCCACACCTTGGGCACTATCCCATCAACTCTCATCAACCCATTTTTAAAGGCATTTACCACACTAAAAAATTAGAATGTAACTCTGAGGGCAGGGACCTTGGCTGTGCTGATCATTATAGATACTGTCTGGCTACAGTAATAGTTTGAGTAGTTGCCATGTAACAGGTGCTCAATAAATATCTGTTGAAAGAATGACCTAATACAGTATGTGACAACACACGGGCATTTTTCTGGAGGGAGAATCCATGGTTTTCATCAGATTCTCAAAGGTGTTTGTGGCCTCCCAAACCTAATCATGTAAATAGTCAACACGTTTTCTGAAATGTAAAATACTTATCCTATAATAGCCTTCACAGTGAATGTGTACTTCTCGGGAGCTCTGCTGATTTTTCAGGACATGGATTCACAGTGACGTTATTCATCAGTCAGTCGGTTTTGCTATAGCTCCAGAGGGAAGTGTCCCCCACCCTGAAGACCTGTCTAGAAATGCTTTTTAACGATTCTCAGGTGATGCCAGCAGCTTCTCATGTATATTTCTATTTGTAAGCCTCACAAGCAATAAATGTAAACTAACCTAATGGCTAATTTATAATATAAAGTACACAGTGCTCAAAGTACTTTTAATGCATAACTTTAAATCCCCCTTGAGGTCCATCAGATCTACGTATAGAGAAGTAAGTTTGTATTGTAACATTAACTTAGACCTCAAAGGGAAAGCAATTTTGAAAAACCATCAGAAATTGGTTCAAAATCAGTGAAATGTTACTTTACCTAATCTGAGATTCCAGAGTGGATTTCTACCTCTGATTGTCTATGGCTAATGGTACTTTTTTTGGTTTACTAAGAAAGTCTTAGGATTCTTTATTTTTCTATTATCCTAAGATAATGAATTCTTCCCTCCAATGCGCTGTAGTTTTTCAATTTCCTAACTATAGTTTGTATAAAAATTGATTTTTAGAAGATAAACATGTTATTTAAAAAAAGATTCACAGCAAGTCTCCAAATTGTATTTTGGCTAGAGACAACTTCAGGGATTGTCTAGAAATTATACAGCCTCCCTAAATGAAAGAATGTACTCGTTTCAATCTTTTCTTCCATCAAAGGAGACAAATGACAAGGAGAGAAGCATTAGCTTCAGCTGTTAATTAAACCAGATTTTTCTCAAAAACTTTTCTATTATACATTAAAAGGTTTATTTATTTATTTTAAATTTTTTTTATTGTACTTTAGATGAACGTTTACAGAACAAATAGTTTCTCATTAAACAGTTAGTACACGTATTGTTTTATGACATTGGTTAACAACCCAACAACATGTCAACACTCTCCCTTCTCAACCTTGGGTTCCCTATTACCAGCTTTCCTGTCCCCTCTTGCCTTCTAGTCTTTGTCCCTGGACTGTTGTGCCCCATTAGTCTTGTTTTGTTTTATGGGCCTGTCTAATCTTTGGCTGAAGGGTGAACCTCGGGCGTGACTTCATTACTGAGCTAAAAGGTTGTCCAGGGGCCACAGTCTCAGGGTTTCTCCAGTCTCTGTCAGGCCAGTAAGTCTGGTCTTTTTTTTGTGAGTTAGAATTTTGTTCTACATTTTTCTCCAGCTCTGTCCGGGACATTCTATTGATCCCTGTCAGAGAGTCAGTGGTGGTAGCCGGGCACCATCTAGTTCTACTGGACTCAGTCTGGTGGAGGTCGTGGTAGTTGTGGTCCATTAGTCCTTTGGACTAATCTTTCCCTTGTATCTTGTTTTCTTTATTCTCCCTTGCTCCCGAAGGGATGAAACCAGTGGAGTATCTTAGATGGCTGTTCACAGGCTTTTAAGACCCTAGACGCTACTCACCAAGGTAGAATGTAGAACATTTTCTTTATAAACTATGCTATGCCAATTGAGCTAGATGTCCCCTGAGACCATGGTCCCCACAGCCCTCAGCCCAGCAATTCGGTCCCTCAGCGAGTTTGGATGTGTCTGCGGAGCATCCATGTCCTTGCCTTGTACAAGCTGTGCTGGTTTCCCCAGTATCGTGCATAGAAAGGTTTTGCTTGCAAGTGTTTTCTTTGTTCACACTATAGAAATCCCATACATGACCTCTAAGACTTCTGAATTTATCCTACAAAGTCTCCACTGTTCCCCTTTTTTTTTCTTTAAAAAAAAAAAAAACAGTGTATTTTTCTGGATTCTTGGATTTAAAATTACAGCATTAAGTCCCGTATTTTGCTTTCTCCAGTTTCAGCTACTTTCCCTACAGTTCAAAGAATGCCTGTACGCTATGATTTCTGTCTAGCAATGTTTACTTCATTTACAAAATCAAGACAGTGCTATTACAAGGAATGAATATTCTAAGGATAGCATTCCCTGCCCCTCCCCCCCATCCCTTTAAGAGAAAAATCAATTCCACTTACTGTTTCACTACCAGGTTTCCAACCAGCAGGGCAGACTAAAAGGAACAAAAATGGGAAAGAGTTTAAAAACAAAGAGTTCAGTTCTCCTCAGCAACTGCTAACTTCTGTTTTTCCAAATAAAACTGAAAACAGAGCGTATATTAATAACATTTCCAGGCCACTGAGCACATGATGTCTGTTAGCTTGCCTGCTCCCACCAAGGAATTTTAGTCATGGAGCTTGTCAGCAGGCAAGTAACCTATTTTCATTTTTGCCAATTAAGGTCAGTTATACTTACAATGTAAGAAACCAAATAGAGTGTTCCTCGAATAAAGTTGTTAAGTTTGGAAACTTGTTGACCTAAAAGCTTTGGGCAGGGCAAAAATTCCTCTGAATTTACATAAACTTCCAGTAAGCTTGTCTGCCACATATCCTGCAGTATTTTGTGTTGATGCCATGGCTCACTGTCAAAAGCAACTTTAAGCTTATTTGGAAAGCAGGGTTTCCCTTTTATTTAGAATGCACCCTGACCCAGGCACTGAGTAACACTTTTAAAAGGAATATACAACATGTGTTATATTTTAGCAAAATCTGAGTTTTTTCATTTAGCTATGCTAAAACTCAGAGTGAAATGAATTGATAGGTTACCAGCGTGATACTGAGTAACCCTGAGGATTACATTATTAAAAAAGCTAAATCAAATAATATAAGCATACGAATAAGACCTACATTATAAATACTGCCAGACTGGCATATTTGAAGTTTATAGAAATATAATTTGAAATATTGCAGGAACTTTTCTCTTTCAGTCTATCCAAAAGTACTATGCCAATAATGAATGTCTTTGCATCTTATTCAGTAAGCAGAATATATTAGTGATGTCTTGTTAACAGCACTTCAAATGATAGTTTGATCTGTTAAAAAGATCTAATAATTTGAAAACTTTGGAACCACCTTATTAGGATAAGAAACCCAACTAATTATGCTATTTCTCAAACAACAATTTCAAAAGGCTATGACGTTTAGAAAGGAAGGGTACCTTCTCCATGTTTGTCGGTGTACTGGAATGCTTGAACCAAACGGAGTGTCTCATCTACTGATCTACCGACAGGAAGGTCATTCAAAGTAATCTGTCTTAGGATTCCCTTGTCATCAATAATGAAGAGACCTCTATAAAATAACAATGGTAGAGGTAAGGCCATTTCTTCTCAGTTAAGGCAAATATTAGTATTAGCTAATGTAAATCCCTGTACCATCCGCACAGAAGGATGCTATACAGAGCCAACAGCACACTCTCTCTCTCTCTCTCTCCCCCTCCCCCTCCCTCTCTCTCCCCTACTGTGTAATGTGGTATTATCACTACTAAATGGTGGCTTTAAAAATTTGTTTTTGGCTACAGAATGTAGTATTTATAGTTGCATCTGCATGTGTACTAGGTATGGGATTTTACTGCACTGTAAACAATATGATGAAACTACATAGTGAAGCCTTCCGCTGGGTGAATGAGTGACCCATCTTTCTTGTCACTGGCTGTTTAGGATGTCTTTGTATTTCCTTTTTCAATGGTGGAAAAAGATAAGGTCACCAATCTAAGCTAAGTTTTACCACTCCCTCTAAATCTCTGTATGTGTGATTCACTTCTTCTCTGGTCTGAATGAAGTACTTTACCCAAAAGACTTGCTATTGAGATGATGAATATTGGGATGATGAAAATGTTCGAAAATTGACTGTGCTGATGATTACACAACTGGGTGAATTGTATGGTATGTGAATTATATCTCAAAAAATACAGGGTTATAAAATATTGACACCTTCAAACTATTGGCACTGCAAAGCATAGCTAAACAATATAATTATAAAAAAATGACAAGTGTTTTAGGCTAAAATTACCCCCTTTTCAAAGAATTCTATTAGCATTTGTTAGCTCAAGTGACTCAGTGAGAGCTGCTGGGTAAAATATTTCCTACTCCAAAGACACAGGCTTGCATTTAGAAAGAACATTACTAGAGTCAGTGTGGAAAAGAGGAAAAAGAAATGGATGAGAAGTTAAGGACCTGGGTTTAAGTCTGAGCTCTGCCATTAACTGACTATATAACTGGCTAAGTTCTATGAATGTTTTTTTTCATCTGTAAAATGACAGGGTTGATTAAAGATCTGTAAATAATCTTCTAGCTCTATGACATTAACATAGTTTAAGTAGGGTACCTACCAATTATTTTAACTGGTATCTACAATATTTTTGCAAATAGAGCAAACTAAATATTTCTTGATCAAATCTTGTATCTTCTAACTCATAAATAACATCCATTTCAAGGAGGACTACAAATATACTTGAATTTGTCATAATGTAAAAGCACTGAAAGGTACCTAAGAGTGTGGCCTGAGTCCTCCAGATAGACACCATAGTCCTTTGAGATCTGATGGGTCAAATCTGAAAGAAGTGGAATCCTTATTGGCCCAAGTCCTCCTTGTCTTCGAGGGGTATTAATCCTGTAGCAAACAGAACATGTACCTCTCAGAGCAAAGTAAATGGCATATATCAAAACAGCACTGTTTTCCTCTGTATATGTACACACGAACAGGCTAATATACATTCTATTTTCTTGCTTTTATTTTCCCACTTAACAATATGTTGCTATTCTTTAAACGCTATATATAGGTATATACATATTTGTAATACATCATATTTTTAATGTATAAAAAACACCAAACCCGTTGCTGTTGAGTGGATTCTGACTCATAGTGACCTTATGTGTACAAACATACCATATTTAACTTATCTCTACCAAGGGACATTTACATCCCCCCTTTTTGCTTTTATAAACACTGATGGAAATATCCTCGTATTCTCATCTTTGCACACTTGTCTGATTAATTCTTGGAATTGATGGATTAAGAGATATCCATTGTCATAAGCATAACCTTAGAATTGTGATCACAAGACAAAACCTTGAGAGATAGGCAGAATAAAACTGGGTGATACTTAAATATTCTGAGAGCCAAAGAAATGCAAAGTCCACCTGAAGCAGTGACAGATCTCAGTTAGTTATGATCTCAGACTCATCGGTCTTCAGATATGAGTGTTCTGTAACTTGAAGCCAGGGGATGTGGGCTGGTGTCCCAACGGGAGGACACTGGCATAGCAGCTAGAAAACGGTGAAAAACTGCTCCAGATGTCTGCAGTCCCAGTTCTGACATCCAAGTCAAAATCTCTGGTTAATATAAATCCTATCCAGCTGAGGTTCCTCCTAAAATTCCTTTAGAAAGCAACCCCAAATTATTTGGGATGATATAACTTCTTCCTTAGTGGGTATATGTTTTAACCCCTGGAAAATTTAGAGTTACTAAGAAATGATAAAATAAATTAAACCTATAGTTTTAATATTTTTACATTCAGCAACAGTTAAGTACAGATTTGTACCTGAAGTTATTTATAATGTTTAAGAGAATTTGGCATATTAGAATAACATTCATTTTGTGATTTCAATTTAAAATGTGTAATTTGAAATTTTATTACATTTATAAATAGTAAAGACACTTTAAAGGAACTTAAGACATACCATATTCATTTATTAATTTGCAAGAATTAAATACTTGGGAAGGTTTGTCTGAAAATTGAAAATCTTAAAAAGAAAATGAAAATTTATGTAATTACATTTAAAAATACTTAAAACAAAATCCACTGCCATCGAGTCTGTTACAACTCATAGCAACCCTATAGAACAGAGTAGAACTGCCCCATAACGTTTCCAAAGAGCAGCTGGTGGATTTAAACTGCCTACCTTTTGGTTAGCAGCCAGAGCTCTTAACCACTGTGCCACCAGGGGTCCATAAAAATACTTAAAAGGAACTGATGACTTAAGGAAATATAATTAAATTGTAGTTCTCCAACTAATTAAAATGTTAGATATATAAAAGAATTTTAAGTGGAGAAAAACTTGTGTTTTGAATTTGCAACTTTAATAAATTGAATAACAAGTTTTAAAACCAAAATAATTCTGAACATCTTTACTGTGTGAAAAAAAAGTCTGCCTGGACACTATTAAAAACTCACATTAACATCCCATCCACGTTTTGAATTTTGAAGCGTGATGCCTAACTGCTCTCCAGAAATGCTGAACCAGTTGTGTGTGGGTGAGTGCCATTTCTTTATAGCTTTATCAACATTGATGATTTTTTTCAATCTTTTAAATCTTGGCCAATCAGACAGGAGAAAATGCATCTCTTGTCATTTTAATTGGCAATTCTTTGACACTAATTAGGTGAACATCCTTTCATTAATGAATTTTTACATATTGCTTCTTGAAAATATAAAAGCTATTTTGAATATAACTTATCATACTAGATAACTGTGATCAGAGAATGGTATAAAGTTTTTTTCTTCAGATTAACATTACCCAATTTATTACAATAAAAACATCATTACACAATTCAGTGGTTTTTGCTATGGAAATCATATTTCTTGCATTTAATTTCTCCCCCTAATTTTGAAATGTCCTATAAAATCCTTAAGGATTTTTACCAAAACTTCATTGAACTAGCAGCTCAGATAAATCTATTCCTGAATAGTCTGATAAATAACTATAGTTCTATCTTGTTAAGAGTTATCTGTCCGTGATTTAAGAGTAAATCTGTTTTTTTCTCCTACAAATACAAGATACTGACCAGGCCAAATGGGTAAACTGCGAATCAATAGAGCAGGCTACCACTTCAGTATTTATAGATCTGAATTCTTCAATTCTGTCACCAAAAGCGATAATTTCAGTTGGACATACAAATGTGCTGAAAATTAAAAAAAAAAATTAATTCAGTTTTTTCAAAACACATTTACCTGAAGGATCAAACAAGTTTGTTTTTATAAACATCTTTAGTATATAAAAATGCATATTAAGAACAATTTTATATATGAACCTTCTCAAGATGGAGTGGGCCTAAAAGATTATCATTTGATCAAATATTATTTAATAAAAAAGTATATTATAGAGTTCCCAATAATATCTCAATAAACTTTTATTATAGCTTAATGGATCAGTGGTCACCAACGTTCAATTCTCCTTTCTGGCAGCACCCCTCCCCCCATTTTATTAGCTTTTATTTAATACTTTGTATTTATATAGTGCTTTATAGCTTTCGAAGGACTCACATAAATTTTACATCATTTTACTGTTTTTTTTTTTTTAACATTCCCATACCAACCCTATGAGCTATTTGGAACTATCTTGTTAAAGTCCTCTTCCACCTTCTTTTCTTTAATGATTACATTATGATAACACAATCATGTAGCTGTAAGTATGAAGTATTGGGGTCAATATGATTCTGAAATATACTATAGATGTTGTCTTTCTGAATAAATTTCTCACCTCAGTTTGCCTTTTTAAGAACCAAGAGCCAAATAAAAACATTTCTAACTATTTTGTCTTCTTGAATAATAACTGAGGCTTCACTGTTGTTTACATATATTACTTACAAATCAAGTGGGTAGAAGAAAAAGACCAGGTATTTTCCACGATAATCAGTCAACTTGAGCTCCTTAAATTCCCCATTTATCACAGCTGTTCCTTCCCAATAAGGTGCTGGCTTGGAAACTAAGAAAGAAAACAATTACATGATGTTTTATAGCACTGAGAAAGTTGGTGGGATGGCAGAAGGACATCTTTAGGAAATCACTAAATATCAGGGCTTCTTAACCTTTGGACCAATTTGGCAGTGTGGCAAAGCCTATGGACCCCTTCTCAGAATAATGTTATTGAATACATAAAACAAAATACATAGAATTACAAAGGGAACCAATTATATTGAACAAAATGATCAAAATATTTAAAAAAATGGTGATATAGTAATATATATGCTCCTTTATTAACGTTTTAAAACTGCAAGAGCTAACAGGGATCTGATAATTACCTAAGACAATAATGAATGTAAACGATGTTTCAGGATACCTGCAACAACCATGTTTGGCAAGAAAATACCTGATTCTATTGGAGACAAAGTACAAGTAAGTACTGCTAATGCTAGTGTGGTTTGTTGTGGATGCTTCTCATGTATACACTGAGGACCTGATGCAGATTAGACTACACTCAGTACCATACAAGTCAGGCCAGAAGTGTAAAATCCCAGACCATTGAATTATTTTACTAGAAGGCCTTGCAAGAGGAGACCCCCACGACAGGTTTCAAGTGACCTATTCAAAATTTAACAGTTCATGCCACTCTCTTACAAGGCTGTGCTGTAATCTGATAATAATGTATCTTGATGCTCTGTTACCACATTCAGATAGCACTTCAACTTTCAGAAGCATTAGGTACACTGAGGTCAATATTTGCTTCCAAGTTTGAATAAGGTTCCTAGAAAGTAAGGCTTATGCTTTTGTACAGTATTCAGCATTTAAGGTCATTCAGTAAATAGACACAAACTGAACAAGAATTTCTCTGTGAAGTTAACATATAACATGTGATTACTTATCTTGAGCCAGTAGCTTACTTCACATAAATAATCCTGATTTGATTAGGTAAAGGCCAGGAGGGAGAATTAGATAGCAAAAGGATAACCAAAACCAGACACATTGCTGTCGAGTCGAATTCCGACTCATAGGGACCCTGTTAAGACAGAGTAGAACTGCCCTATGGAGTTTCCAAGGCTGTGATCTTTACTGGAGCAGATTTGCCAAGCGTTTCTCCCGCGGAGCAGCTAGTGGGTTCGAACCTCGGACCTTTTGTTAGCAGCAGAACACTTAACCACTTAGCCACCAGGGCTCCTCCAACAGAAGAGTACTGAAATATACATATACCAAAACCAAAAAAACAACCAAACTCGTTGCAGTTGAGTCAATTCCGGCTCATGGCAACGCTACAGGACAGAGTAGAACTGCCCCATAGGGTTTCCAAGGAGCGGCTGGTGGATTCGAACTACCGAGCTTTTGGTTTAGCAAGCACCCTGAGATCTTAACCACTGTGGCACCAGGATGCCATGCTTTATACACAGTACTTAAAACGCTACTATTAAGTGTGAGCTTGTAATAATTGTAACGATGTACTACAATGACACTCCTTAATGATTACTGCATATTGGGAAACTAAATCTGAAAAATAAATTTTATTCTGAAAATTTTGCGTTCTTGGTTTAGGGATACCATTTCCGTCGAGTCGACTCCGACTCATAGCAACCCTACAGGACGGAGTAGAACTGCCTCACAGGGTTTCCAAGGAGCAGGGCTGGTGGATTCGAACTGCCCACCTTTTTGATTAGCAGCTAAACACTGGTGGCGTAGTGATTAAGAGCTACCTACCGCTGCTAACCAAAAGACAGGCCGTTAGAATCCACCAGGCGCTCCTTGGAAACCCTACCAGGCAGTTCTACTCAGTCCAATAGGGTCGCTATGAGTGGGAATCGACTCGACAGCAACGGGTTTGTTTTTTTGGATTTAGGAATTGCAGTGTTTGTTCAAAGAAAAACTGTCATCCATTTATAGAGCAAAAATAATGCAGTTACTTTGCTAAGATCTATAAACGGAACTCCCAAAGCAACCCCTTGCACTGTTAAAAAAACAAAAATTATCCTGAATATAGTTAATATAAATATTCTGGTAAATGCAAAGAAGTATAAAGAAGAATATTTAAATCACCCCCTCCTTAACTCCCATCAATTTAACTACTGGTAACATTTTGGTGTTTTTTTCCCCCAGTCTTTTTTTAAACACACAAATTTGGGTCATGTTGCACTCCCTCTTCTTAAAGTAAACAGTAAATTAATCATGAACAGTTTTTCAAGTTACTAAAAATTATCTGAGAATATGACCTTAATGGTTCTATAATATTCCATTTTATGAATAAAAGTTCTTATATCTTTAATACTAGATTACCCTAATGTGAAACAGAAATGTAGCAAATATCTAAAATTTGAAAAAGTTTGCTGGTAAACGGTAATCTATTATGTTTTGCTTCCACGAGCAGCCTTGGAATGGATTTGTTTCCTAGGAGAAATACATGTGATGTCAGTAAACACTTAACTGACGTATTTCAAAATATCTTCCCAGGCAAGTAAAACCAACGGGACTTGTAAATACCATTTAATACTTTTAATAAGTGCAAAACTGGCTTTCTACAAACTAAAATCCAAAAGTAGTTAACTTTCAGTAGGAAAGAACTGCATATTAAGGAGGCGAAAGTTTTCTCATTTATCACTCCCACCCCATCCTTAGTCATAACATCCCCAATTAACACTAGGGATTCATAATTGTGAAGCATTACTTTTTTCACTGAATACTGGCACGGAACAAGCTGTAACGGAACCACAAAAGCCAAGTAAATACACACCTACAGATTGTCAAATGATCCGCTGGAATAGTAGGTTACTGAAAAGCAAGCAAGCAACCGTCTTTTTCCCTATCGTCACCGTCCACTTCTTTTTGGCTACTTTAACATCCAGCTGCAGCATGCCGCAACTTTCTAAGTTCTTTTTAAGTATTAGTCTGACGTGTCTTTCCCTGAAAGTGGCCATTCGCTGTGTACATTGGACAAAAATGCAAATAATCAAAGGCCTAACTGGCAGCACACCAATTTGCCACAAGGTTTATCATCAACCCAAACGTGTTATTTCCAACCTCCTCTTTTCCCGTTTCCCTCCAAAGTACACTCTGTAATAGATTATTCAGTTCCGAGAAACACAAAGAATACCCAATAAATATACAGATTTTGGAAGATGGCTTTTAATAGTCTTCCTTATAAGGTGCTACAAAAATAAGAGATGAATGTTTGCCCTCCTGAACATTTTGTTTAGTCACTTTTCTGTTTAATAAAACTTTCTGTGAATTATTATTCAACCTATCCATGTATCCTCCCTGAACACTAAAATTAAAACAAGTAGATAAATCTCGAATAGTACTTGGAAACCGACGGGATGTTCGGCAGGAACTTGCGATGCATGAGGAAGTGTTTCAGCTTGCACAACATCCTCGATGCCTTCAAGCACGGACTAGGACCACCCTTTTTCTTTCATCTGCGGCTTCTGGAGTAACCACAATCTCTTCCAAAATCTGATCAGTGGAAAATATTCCTTTCCTTGCAGCTGGAGTACCCCTCCATTCCTTCACCCCCCGGGAGAGTACCAGGGGGTACATACAGCCCAAGCCCCCGGGGAGCTACTGCAACCACAGTATACGTGTGTCTGGGTCGTCCCCACCATCTCTTGCCTCCACCCGCCACCGGTCACCACCCTTTGGCGAAGCACCACCTACTCTTGGCTTTGCTGAGGTGCAGGGAGTGGTCCGCGACCGATACCCGGGACGGCTCCCCGGGGTAAACTTGTCCGCCTGCGTAGAAGTGGCACTCTTCTTCGCGGGTCCGTGGCCTCTCCTCTGCCTCCCAGCCCCGCAAAGCTCCGGTCGGCAGCAGGAGCAGCAGCAGCGGCAGCAAGACCCTTCGGCTCCGGGCCGGGGTTGTCGCGGCTAGCAACTTTGGCAGCGGCGCCTCCATGACCACGCGAGTGTAGCCACACGTCCCTCGGCGCGAGCGCGACTTACCCCGCCCACAGACAGTAACAAACGCGCGGACCACGACCGCGCGAGCCGGGGCGCGGCCTCGCGAGACCTGCTCCGCACCCGCCCCCCCCGCCCCTGCCCGGTCCCGCCACGAGGGCGGCAGCCCCACCTCCTCATCCCCCTAGCCCCGTTTGCGCCTGCGGCCTGCAGCGGCCCCGGGCCACCAAGTGTCGCCCAGCTCGGGAAAAGCCTCTTCTCGCCCTCCTGTCTTCAGCACAGTTTTAGGCTCTGTCATCCTTTCAGGCCCATTTCTTCCACAAAGCCTCACCATTGCACACCATCGCCTCCCGAATCTGAAACTAACTTTTCTGCCTCTGAACCGGCTTGCATTTTGCCTCCCGTGGGCAAAGGATGAGTTTGGGGGTCCTCTTTCGGCTGTCTCCCCCCACCACGTGGGCGGCGGCCCCACCCCCTCACCCTCCAGCTGGTTTGCACCTGCGCCCTTGGGGCGGGCCTAGCCCGCCAAACCAAGCCTTGCCCAACTTGACGAAGGCCGCTTGTGTCTGGCTGCCCACCCTCAGCACAGGTTTAGACCTTGCTCATCCTTCCAGGCCCATCTCCTCCACAAGTCTTCACTACTGGACACCATCTCTCCTGAAAACTAGAACTAACCTTTCTGCCTCTGAATGGCTTGCACTTTATACTTCTCAAACCAAAAAAACCAAACCCATTGCCATCAAGTCAGTTCCGACTTACAGCGAGTCTACAGGACAGAGTTCCAAGGAGCTGCTGGTGGGTTCGAACTGCCAACCTTTTGATTAGTAGCCGAACGCTTAACCACTGCGCCACCAGGGCTCCTTTATACCTCTAACAGATATTTGTTCGTTTTTTTCCTTACAGTGATCTTCATGAATAGCGTCATGATCCCCATCTAGTTGCAGCCCTTTCAGGTCCTGGGAAAACTTGGAGAAGAAAAGTCTAATGTGGAAAGCAGTATCTTCAGACTATTCTCTTCCAGCTGGCAAGGAACTAAAGGCATGCAGGCAGTTTGGTGATTTAAGCCTGTCTCAGAGGTGTACATTTTTTTTTAAATCAAGACTTGAAAAGTTCTGCAAAAACCTTTTTTCCCAGCACAGTGTTGGTTTATCTATTAATAATTACCCCATCACCTACCCATTTGCTAGGATGGAAGGTGAAGACTGAGGAAAGAGACAGAACACACACCAGTAAGACAGGAGCCATCAGCAGCTTCTGTGCTCCCCCAGGTCCCTTATGTCTTCCTGTGAACCCTTGTTATCTTTCTGAATCCCACAGAAGCCATCCTAACAGTTTGTCTTTTCTCTCTTAGACTGTCAAGTCCTTGTGGCTGTAATTGATGTCTAATTTCATCTTTGTTTCCCAAAGCACCTGGTACAGGGAAAGCATTTGGTATTATGAACACTTACTTTGTACATAACATGTAATATTCCAAACAGCCTTTCTCACTTTCAGGTTGTTTTCACATATATTCTTGCTCCTCATGACAACCCTCTGAGGCAGATAGGAAACCTATCCTTTTGAAACTCACCCGTCACCCTAGTTCTGCCCGTTATATGCCCTGCATTCCGCTTCCTAGCCCCTGTCTCTTATGGACAAAGGATGAGAAAGATGAAGCCATCCCTTTCTGCCCAGGGTGGGAGGGCATGTCCTTACCCATAACATTGTCAGGCATCTCTTCACTTTCGGGGGGCCCATAGATAGGAGGCCTCTGACGCGGTAGCTCTCGCTCCCATTCTTCTCCTTCCCTGGCCTCCTGTTCCACATAGAGGGGAAATGGGACCCGGGGGGCCCGGGGCTGGGTCCCAGGGGTTCGGCTCAGGCCTATGCCCCGTAATCGGCTTCGGTGATCCATGTTGATCGTTGGACAAGCAGCCACACACCTCAGTGACTTCTAGGCTCCGAGCTGAGCCTATAAACTGAGGAACTGGGAGAGGAAGTTTGGGAAGATTGTTATTTCCTAACACCTCTTTGCTCTAGGCTGGGCTGAGGTGCCCCTGCCAGCAGCAGGAACTGTACCCCAAGTGGGCCCCAGTGAACCTCCCACCCACGGGAGAGAGTGACGAGGTCAGCCAGCTCCCAGGCACATCCTGCACATCCCTCAGTCCCACTGGAACCCCCTGGAAACTGACAGTCTGGGTGGCAGTTGCTCTGAATCCTTTCATCCAATGATATTTCCTGATGCCTACCTACTTCAGGGCAAGCCATTGTTCTGTCACAATGGCAACCCCAAGTAAGCTGGAGGTAAGGTCCCTGCCCTGAAGACCATCCATCTAGAGTCAGCTGCCCATATTAATAATACAAAACCATAAGGCACAGAGGGGCAGCTCTTAACCCATGATGTACCTCAGAAACACCTGGCGGGGGCTTAAAAAACAATCATGTGCTGAGACCAGGGTGGGGGGGGGGGCGAGTGGAAGCAGGAAGGGGAGGCACAAATGCCTTTAGTTTAACAAGTGTGTATGTGCGTATGTCTGGTTAAAAACCACTGCTGATGGAGGTTAAGAGCATAGATTGTGGAGTCACCCATTTCTAGATTAAATCTGAGCTCTAGCACCTTGTGGATTTGGGATGTTTATTTAATCTCTCTGAGCCTCAGTTTCTTCATGGAAGATAATGATACCTTCCCCATGTTGTGAAGCTGAAATTATATGTATGTGGGGTGGACAGACATAGTCAACTTCTTTTTGCCTTCTCTCCATTTTCTTCCAACTTGATCACATGCTTTTTCTGGTCCTAAGTGGGGACCTAGAGACAGAGGGGATTGTGGAAGAAGAGCGCACGCTCACATGGTTGACCAAGTTGTAATGTGGCCTTGGGGCTTTGTGATACTCAGAGGAAATCCTGGTCAGACACTCTCATGGGGATGTTTGCAGATTCCCTTCACATCCCCTGTCTTTCTTTTGACTGGACTCTTAGACTCTTCCTTAGCATCTAGATATTTTGTGACACCCCTTCCACACACACACACACACACATACACACACACACACACACAAACCTGGTTATAGGGTCCTTCTGCCTCTCTGGGTGGCCCACTTGACTGCTTTTCCTTTACAGTCTCAGGGTGTTGCCTTTCATGAGGTCCACATTTGTCCCCTGGAAAAATGCAGGTTTTTCTGCATTTCCTGGAAGTTTAGCTTATTCCTAAGGCTGCACTCTTATTGTCCGTTCTGCCAGGGGCAGCTACATCCCCAGCCTTTTGACATTACTTGTGTGAGTCAAAGAGTAGTCCCTCTACCTCCTGGGGTCATAAGTCAAGCTTTCTGAAGCTTTTTGTCATTTGTTTGAGGCAAGGAAAAACAATATTGGTCCCTCCCTCATTCTAGGAGAGGTCATCCACCAAGTCATGAGGATATTTACGAGGCCTGTGGAGAGGCCCACATGGGAAGAAACAGAGGCCTCCCGCTAATCAACAGCACCACCTTGCCAGCCTTGTGAGTGCACCACCTTGGAAGCACATCTTCCAGCTCCAGTCAATTCGGATGACTGAAACCCTGGCTGACATCTTGACTGCAACTTCATGGGACACCCTAACTACAACCACTCAGCTAAGCTGTTCATGAACTGCTGATCCATAGGAACTGTGAGTTTAATAAATGTTTGTTATTGTTTTAAGTAAAAAAAAAAGAACATAAAGCCTTAGTAAAGTTCCTGGCAAAACATTGTAGTTCTTCTTATTCATATTAGTTAAATGTCAGACTAATTTTAAAATGTGGATTTCAAAAGAGTGAAGGTGGGTTAGGGTGCTTAGGGAAGGCTCATCAAGCCAGGAATCACAAATGATTGTGCACTAGATCTTTTGAATGTGAAAGTAGTTCCTAGACCACTATGGACTAGTTTTGATGTATCATTATTTGTACACATAGTAAGGGTTCTGTTAAGGTGATGGATGGGAGAAGGGCTAATCTTAAATGTGATTTTCACTTTAATTTAATTTGTGAGAAAGAGTGAGAGAGGGCATGCACTGATGTGAAGCCTTTCTCTAGTATTCTTCATGAGCCAGGGGCATGTGTTTTTCTACAGTAATCTTTAAAAAATTAAGGTGGTGGCTGTTGGTGTTTAGCCTGCAAAGCAGGCCTTGTACATATTTAGACAGACGCTGAGGTGATGTCATTCCATGAACCTGAAAGGCCTTTTCATTCCCATGTCATCTTCATATGCCTGTCCCACTGCCTGACGTTCTGTCATTGATACATTTTTTTATGGATTGAGACATCACCCTTCATGATGTGCCCTGGTCATACTCATAGAGATTTTGCTGCTGAATATGCATCTTAGATGAATTACTTAATTTCAGAAATGCCTTTTGAGCAGCTGCTATGTGCCAGACTCTGCCATTGGGAGGAAGCAGTAACAAAACAGACCTGCTGCTGCCATTATTGAGCTAAAATTTCAGTGGTGCTGACAGACATTAAGTCAGTGGTAATATAAATGCTTAAAAGTAAACTGATGAGTGCAATGAAGGGAAAATGCACGCTCCTATGAGAGCCTATAGCATAGAACACGGGAGTTCACCTGGGTGAAGTGTGAGTGGTCAGATAAAGCTTTCCTGAGGAAGTGATGTTTGAGCACCTGAAGACAAGGTGCATGTAACTAGGTGATGAAATGGCCAGGGTACAGGGAGGGTGGTTTAAGGAAGGAGGATGACTATCCCATAGATCCGTAAAACAATAAAATGGAAATTCTTTTTTTTTTCTTTTAGCTTTTTTTTTTATTGTTGTAGTTTAAGTTACTATTCAAGTCAGTCTCTCATACAAAAATTTATACATATATTGTTATGTGGCCTTAATTGCTCTCCCTATACGGTGACAGCACATTCCTCCTTTCCATCCCTGATTTCCCGTGTCCATTCAACCAGCTCCTAACCCTCTCTGCCTTCTCATCTCACCTCCGGACAGGAGCTGCCCATTTAGTCGCATGTATCTACTTGAGCTAAGAAGCACACTCTTCACGAGTATCACTTTATGTCCCACGGTCCAGTCCAATCTTTGTCTAAAGAGTTGGCCTCGGGAATTGTTTTAGTTCTGTGTTGACAGAGAGTCCGGGGGCCATGCCTTCTGGGGTTCCTCCAGTCTCATTCAGACAATTAAGTCTGGTCTTCTTACTAGAATGTGAGTTCTGCACCCAACCTTTCTCCTGCTCCATCAGGGACTCTTCTGCTGTGTTCCCTGTCAGGGCGGTCATTGGTGGTAGCCAGGTACCATCTAGTTCTTCTGGTCTCAGGCTGATGACGTCTCTGATTTATGTGGCCCTTTCTGTCTCTTGGGCTAATACTTTCCTTGTGTCTCTGGTGTTCTTCATTCTCCTTTACTCCAGGTGATTGGAACCAACTGACACATCTTAGATGGCCGCTTGCTAGCTTTTAAGACCCCAGACACCACTCCAAAATGGGAGTTCTTGACACTGAAAGGGGTAATGTGAACCCCAGGAACTGGATGAAATCCCAGGACTATGTAATATGATTCACCCACCTTAAATAAGAGATGAGGAAACTGTACTCAGGAAAGGGCACTGTGGTAACTGCGAGGATTTCGGGGTTGATCAAGGAAAGTTGGGACTATGAGAGGCAGTAACACACAAGCTTTATTGTGTGATGCTTGGACAGGGTTGCATAAGAGGGGAAGTTCCTCTCAGCACAAAGACCTTCCAGAGACAGTGGCACAAGGCCATCACCCTGAAGGAGAATAAGGCAAAGGACCTCTCGGGGAGAGGAGGAAAGCAGAGTGGAGACTTAATGTATTTACATGATGTTGTTCAGCAGGAAAGTGGTGAGTCTCTGGGTCAGAGAGCTTCCATGGGCAGCAACTATTTGGGGTCTTTTATAGGTATAGCGTGTGTCTTATCTATGGTTAACAGATGTTGTGTGTAGTTTCATGGATTATGTAAAGTAGGTACGCTCTAGATGGCTAAAATGTGTTTATTTGGACTATATTTAAAGCAATTGGATGCATAATAGTTAGAATTTGGCACCAGTGTGCTTTGGGCTAATGGCTCTAG